GCTGAGCAGGGAGCCCGATGCGGGGCTCGATCCTGGGACTCCAGGATCATGACCTGAGCTGAAGGCAGTCGCTTAACCAACTGAGCCACCCAGGTGCCCCCAATGAACATCTTTCTTAAGGAAGGAAAAAGAAGTGCACCAAACGGAGTATCAGATCCAACTTTTCTCTAGGTCTCTAGCTGTCTTGTCAGAAAGAAAAAAAAGTCTCAACTAAAGAACTGTCCAGCTATAAAATCCGGTAACCATTCGCTGGAGAAAAAGGACATTTTGGTGAGGCATCATAGTAAGAGATCTGAAGGAGATTGGACTGAACAGGGTGTGTGCTGGAGGTGAGGTGTGGACAGGAGACAAAGGGAGACTCACTTGACTTGAGTAGGGGGTTGAGTAGCCATTTTTAATTACTGGAGTTTTTCTGGATTGTGAAAAAGGGTTCTAAAAGTAGGGAGAAAACAGCTGAGTCTCCCCACATTCATCAGGCTAATGTAACAAGGCTAATGTCCTCTTGGGCAGCCCACTCTCAGAGCCCACTTTGACTCCTCTACTTGCAGCAAGGAGCTGGCAAGCTCTCGACGCTCCCAAGTTTGTGCAATGAGAATTTATACACCAGGCAGCATAGCACAATAAGATAAAAAGTATACCAAGTGTGGTGAATGCAATTAAAGATACATATGATAAGATATATTTGACATTTCATAAACTCATTTTGGGGGAGGGAGAACTCATTAGGTCGTGAAAATGAATCACGGGGAGAACAGGGTCCCCTTGGCAGAGCATCGCTCACTGCCGAGTAATTCTCCCATTGTCGTGGGGCTCTGCGTAGAGGGTGGATTGATGATGATCCCTTCTTTATTGAGATTTTGGGCTCACATCTCATTTATGTTTATGCTCGCCAAATGGCAGAGCCTTTATTTGTCACTGCATTCCTTAGCCGTTTCTTGATCTCTGAGGCTTGAGTGCAGAGAGGCTGAAATGGTATAGTAAGGATGCTCGGGAAATGCATCGGTAAACGCTAAGGGAAACAGACAATGCGGAGGGCAGGAGTTTATTCCACAGGATAACAGGGATGAAGTTAAGAAGAAGAAAGATGGATGTTCAATATCAAGGAAAAACACCCTGGCCATTCGACTTTAAGAATAACTTCCCAAGGGAAGTTGTGAAAATCCTGCTACTTGAGGCATTTGAGAATAGACTGAATGATGTACTGGAGATTATTCTGCAGGGAGTCCAATGTACTCTGGTCCAGGGAGTGAATGAAAATGGCCACAAAACCCACAAAATGGTCTTTTGTGGTTACGATTCTGGCAGCTTGGGCAGGTCTTGCTTTATTGAATCTTTTGCTACAACCAATATGAACTTCCCCAGGCTGAACTAAAGAACTGCACCTTAGAATAGGAGTCTTGGTGGGCTCCCATGTTCATGGCCGGGATGGCTAAGAGGCAGTGCAGTGTGGCATCTGTCTTACACATTGCACTGGTTCCTCCCCTCTCTTCCTCTTCCCTCCTTTGCCCTCCCCTTCTCTGCTCTCCCTTCCTCTCCTCCCCTCCCTTATTTATTCTCTTCTCCTTAATAAAGGAAATAGATATGGGGTCACAAAGGCTTGGAAACCATTCCTCTGAGTCATTCTGATGTGTCTGTTGGATGCTTGCTCTCTGCTGCTCAGTGTACTGTGGTTTGGCATTTGGTGGAGAATATGGGTTGAAGTCCACCAGAGTCAACATGAGACGTGGGAACTGCTGAGGTCTGCTGGCCATTCCCCAGAGGATGAGCCCTGCAAAGCCTGCAGAATTGCAGTTAAAATCTCCTCCCTGCTTCTGCCCCAGCCTGTCCAGAGATCTGCTGGGGGTTTCTGAGTCTTCTCTCTTTTACAGCTATTGTTCATGATTTGGAGGAGGCGAGGAGAAGGAGGAAGGTTTTCATTCCCCAAGGAGAGACTGAACTTGTCATTCAAGTTCAGCTGTAAGACTCTACAGTGAAAATGTTGAAGGCCAGGTGCTCATTTTTCTTTCTTTTTCTGATCAGTTGCAATTGATCTACAAATACTACAGGGGAAAGTCTGCAGCTGGAGCTGGGACGAGTTGCTGACACAGAACTGTGTCAGGGGTCCAGGTGAGTTGGGAGGTGAGCTGGGAGGCTGAGGAGGACTTGTAAGTCAGCTCTTGGGGAGTTTCCCCCTTATTAGTTCAGTATATTCCGTACATTTCTCAGTTGATTGAGATGCGCAGCAATTTTCCCACAGAGTAGACTCCGGCCGTTGATGGTTGTAACATTTATGTTTAAGTCACTTGAGTGTGATTTGGAAGTCCATTCTATAAGGTAAAATGCAAAATGTTGCTGAGGCATGAACTTGAATCACCGAAACTATAAGGTCATTGTGGTTGAGTCATTACCTAGTGACAGGACCCCCTTGTGGGGTCCAGTCTCTACCGCTTATTGCAGCCCTTCTCATTCTTAGTCATCATTCTGTGTGAGGAGTTTGGGGACACACATCCTTGGTGAATGCTGTGGTTCAGTGCCTTGTCACTCCACGCCAAAGTCCAGCACGGCCCAGCTCGACCTTCCTAAACACGCACGATCATAAAGATCCGAGGAGAAGTCAACGCAAAAAATTGGAACGTGTTCAACATTGCTTATTCATCTTTCATCGCGGGCCAGGCCCTGTGCTAGGTGTTGTAAGAAATACAAAGATGAATAAGACCCGGTTTGGGCTCTCAGGGAAAACAGAACCAATAGGAGAAAAGAAAAGAAAAAAAAAAAAAAAAAAACCAACCCCAAACCAAAAACCTCAACTCAAATGATCATAACACAGGGCAGTGCCAGATAACCACATTGGGGTGTTTTCCACACCAACAACCAATTTTCTGATTGTCCAGACACCAACTCGGTGTTCAATGATTCCATTCATTCTGACACTACTTCGTTTTAGTGCAGACCTCACAGGTCAAGGGCTCAGTCGTACAAGACTGCCTGCGTCCTTCAGAGGCCAGTCACCAGTCCGGGGCCTCTCATAATTCTGATCCACCAGCTATAAATGGGGGGGGTCCCAGGACCCCCTCCTTAGGTTCTCTAATTTGCTAGACTGGCTCACAGAACTCAGGAACACACTTTACTTACATTTTCTGATTTATTATAAAGGATGCAAATGAACTGCCAGATGAAGAGGTATATAGGATGAGGTCTGAAGAGGTCTCAAGCACAGGAGCTTCTGTTCCAGAGAGTTGGGGTGCACCACCATACCAGCATGGGGATACGTTCACCAACGTAGATGCTCTGTGAACTCTGCTGTTTAAGGGTTTTATGGAGGTTTCAGTACATATGCATGATTGATTAAATCATCTGCTATTGGTGATTAAACTCAGTTGCCAACCCCCCTCCCATTCCTGGAGGTTGGAGGGTGGGGCTGAAAGTTCCTAGCTTCTAATCAAGGCTTGGTCATTTTGGAGACTGGTCCCCATCCTGAAGCGATCTAGGGGACCCCAATCGCCAGTCATCTCATTAGCATGCACAAGACTCTCATCATTTTGGAGATTCCAAGGGTTTTAGGACCCGAGTGCCAGAAACTGGGGACAAAGGCTAACTATTTTTTATTATGCTGCAACCACCACAAGGAAATTATATGGAAAGTGTTGTGTGACTTTAAAGAAAAGAAAGATGAATGCCTGGGTGGCTCAGTCGGTTAAGCATCTGCCTTCAGCTCAGGTCACGATCCCAGGGTCCTGGGATCGAGCCCTGCATCGGGCTCCCTGCTCAGCGGGGAGAGTGCTTTTCCTTCTGCCACCGCTCCCCCTGCTTGTGCTCTCTCTCTCTCGCTCTATTAATAAATAAAATCTTTAAAAAAAATAAAGAGAAGAAAGATCAGATCCATTTTTTTTAAGACTTCATATTGTGATATCACGTAATGTAAAAGAACTTGGACTCTGGAGTCTGCCAGCCCGGGTTTGACTTCTGGAGTGAATCTCATAGCCACTCTTTCACTTCCTCATTGATATCCTCAATCACGAAATGGAACAATGTCAGTTCCTCTCGAAGGAGTGTAAGGCACCTCAGATCTCTTCCAGGGCGGGAACCTCTTGTTGCAGAATGTTATTTTGCTTGTCTGTTCAGTCCTCTGTAGAGCTCAGCTACGTTGCCTTCCCCCGCTCCCCTGAAATCACAATAAGATGAGATTACTGCTTGAAACTTGCAATCCCATTATCTGTCAGCCTATGAAAGATAAAAAGTGCCACTAGTGTTTCCAGAAAGTCATTTTTCAGTAGCCATGGGTGACAAGAATTACATTTCTTTGCCAGGACATCTTGATGTGGCATATCATAAATATTCAGGTTACGTAGACTTTTAAAAAAGATATAATATCTTCTTTTTTGTATAACACCAGCTTCAAGGTGAGATTCAGGATGACTCAAAAATAGGAAGTAGGAATTCTTATGCATGAGCGAAAGGCAGCCTTTGGGGAGTGGGCTGAAGGAGGTTGAGGAAGTAGAAACTGAAAAATGAAGTAGGGATTGGGGTATGGGTTTGGAAATCCTATGCTGGGGTGTATTACCCTTAGACCCCGGCAGGTGGGCCTCTGCACTGGTCCTGTGCTTTCATGGGCCTGGCTCTGGCACTCTTCCTTCTGTACCTTCCCCATGGGATGAGAGGTCCAGGAGGCCAAGGGATGTGTCCACGTGGAGTCCATGCCCCCCTACTTCAAAATCATATTCTAGGTACCAGGGACACCAGAATTCCTTGCCCAATTGCTAAGGCCTGTGTGAGTGTCTTTCCCAGCTCTGTCCTTTTGAGTAAGAGCTAACAGTACCACCTGTGTACCCAAAGGTGGCCAAGGACTGGTGGGTGGCACGATCGGGGGAGATAGAGATAGGCTGGGTGAGCTGGGATGTCCATATGCATATGATCCGAGTAGAACTAGAAGAGAGAAGAGAGAAATGAATGGGGTGTGGGTCAGGGGTCTCCATTTGTACTATTGCCTTAGGCCTGCAACGTTTAGGGGCAGGCCTGTGCGGGAGTCTGGGCTTATAACTTTCCAAGAAGAAACAATGAATTTGCAAATAGTTCCTGATAGAATTGAGCTGGCTTCCCCTTGTGCTAGATTCAATCCTAATGGTTTTTTTTTTTTAAGATTTTATTTATTTATTTGAGAGAGAGAGAATGAGAGACAGAGAGCATGAGAGGGAGGAGGGTCAGAGGGAGAAGCAGACTCCCCGCCGAGCAGGGAGCCCGATGTGGGACTCGATCCCAGGACTCCAGGATCATGACCTGAGCCGAAAGCAGTCGTTTAACCAACTGAGCCACTCAGGTGCCCCTAATCCTAATTGTTTTTATTTCTATCTGCCATGTTGCTAATAGGGTAAATAGTTCATGGTGATAGCACTAGGTCCATAGCTATGGTCCTTGAGATACAGGAGTAACCTAAAGAGAAAGACTGTCTGGCCTAGAATTTAGGAGAGCCCCACATTGTCCACACATTGAGAAGAAAGAAGCAATGTTCCTTCCGAGCCTGATTCTGAGAGGGAAACTTTGACAGAGGCTTTGGTGTCAAACGCAGTCCTGTCCTGAGACCTGTCCTGAGGCCTGGCCCAGCCCTGTGCCTCTGGAGACTCTGCTCTTTGGAGTGCCTTCCTTGGACTTGTCTCATTCCCCATCCAATGCTGGAGACAGGCAGGAGTCAGCTGTGCCATCCAGGGGGTACTCCTTGGGCCTGAACTAGGACCATGTGGGCTCTGGTGCTGATTTCTCCCCTGTAGGGCTTTCTTCCAACGGCCATCACTCGTGTAGGGTTGACCAGATGCTCCAGAAGATCTGAGCCTCATGCTTGTGACGTTGTCCCCAGACTGGGACTGGGACCAGGACCCAGATAGGAGGGTGGTCTGGAGATTGGATAGCTCCTGCTGACTGATTGGTATTCCTTTTTCTTTCTTTCTTTTTTTTTTTTTTTAAGATTTTATTTATTTATTTGTCAGAGAGAGAGAAAGAACACAAGCAGAGGGAGGAGGCTTCCCAATGAGCAGGGAGCCCGATGCGGGACTCGATCCCAGGACCCTGGGATCATGACCTGAGCCGAAGGCAGATGCTTAACCGACTAAGCCACCCAGGTGCCCCAAGATTGGTATTTCTTTCATGAGATCGTCTGAAATTGGGTTGCCAGATGTGCTAGTATGCAGATTTTGGTGACTCAAATTGTTTATCTATAATTGTTATATATTTGCCTGGGCCCCACACACCCTAGGAACAGCCCTGGTCAAACGCTTGTGCAAATATCAATCTCTCCCCCAGTTTCCCTCCTAATCTGCTGTCTCCTAAATCCCATAACAAGGACCCAAATTCTGTAAAGAGCGGAAACACAGAGGCAGAGGAGGAAGTCCTCTGTCTTCTCTGACATAGAAGCCATAGTTTCCCTGCGTGCAGCTGTGCGGAGTCTTGCCTTCAGTTTTCACGTGGGACAGTGGCCTGGTTGAATCCTACAGACAGGAAGATGGAGGGTGCCTCACAAGTCCTGGGGGTGACTGGTCGGGGCTTTAAGGAAAATAATGTCAGATTTAGAGTGGCTAGTGGCTAGAGGAGGAGGTGACGTGGAGAGGTTTTCTGCCAACAACATGAAGTTCCCCACACATTCTACCAGGTCCAAAGTGATCCCCTCTACCACCCAAACCTCTGTGGGGCCTGAGAAAGGGCGCGTGGAGGAGACAAGATGAACACGAGCTGAGAGACGATGCCGCAGCTGCTGCTAATCCCGTCGAGAGTCAAGACTCACACTGACTGGGCACCTTCTATCTGTTATCTCGTTTGCTCCCAGTGACGAAGTTTGAGGTGGGTGCCGCTATTATTTCCACTCCACAGATAAGGTAACAGAGGCCAGAGGACTGAAATAATGTGCCAGCGGTCATGCAGCAACTTAGTGGTGGAGCCGGGGTTTGAACCCAGGGCTGTTCGACAGCTCCAGGTGTGCTTGCGCTCCGAGGCCCTTACTGCTGGTGTGGCGTGAGGCAGAGCTATCCTGCAAGAGGAGCTCTGGGGCCTGGAGGGCCTCACCGGGGCCCGGAAGTGAGCTCCTGGAGGGGCTCTTTGTTTTCAAAAAGCCCTGAAGTCCTTTTGGTGACAGTTCCTCCTTCCGAGTCAGCAGCCCTGGAGCACGACGCACATCAGCTGCTCTTAAAAGGGACTGAAAAGTGGGTGTGATGAGGTATTGACCACCCCCCCCACTCACCACCCCCCCAGAAGATTGTATTATGGTTCTTTTCACCCAAGCACTTCAAAACCTTTCTAGAACACCTTGTGGGAAATGCTATTATCACACTTTGCTGAGTAACAACTGACCATCTGACCCAATCATTCAGGAAACCAGTGGCAGATCCAGTGTGATTTGGGGAAATGGAGCCCGGCTTCAGCCCCTCTCGCAGCTCAGACCCAGACTATTCTTCCATCAGCTGTCCTTGCAATTGGGCCAACCTTGTCCTGGGCAATTTGGAATCTACATTGTCAGTACATTTCTTTTTAATGAGTTTATATGGTTTTTTTTTAAGGAGTTTTTAACAAATTTCAATTATTTGTTTTTTGCAGAGCTTTATGAAGGCCTTGAAGAATACCCGAAATATGTCTGGAGAGCATAGAAGCGTAAGAAAGAAGTCAGACAGGAATAGGCCACAATATGGCGTCTGCAAACAAGGCGAAGCCAAACCCAGATGAAGGCGGGAGCTTGGCATTCTTCAGAGGTGCTCCTCAGACTGCCTTCGGGGAGCGCTGGGCGCAGGAACCTTCACGTTTAGGACCCTCTCTCCCATCACACGCATTTCTCATGTTCATACTCGGAGCCCGGAAGATCTGATTCAAATCTGGTTCTGAGTTAACTGTGTGCTTTTGGACAAATGATCTAAGGCTTCTGAGCCTGCGTATACTTATCTTCAAAAGAAGGTAATAAAATCCGCCTCCTTATATTGTTTTGAGGAATAAATGAGAAGACAAATGCAGAATACTTAGTGCTGTGGCCTGAATGTGTCCCCGTGCAACTCATGTGTTGAAACCCTGACCCCCAAGGTGAGAGCAGGTGAGGCCCTGGGAGGTGATTACGTCATGAGGGTGGAGCCCTCAGGGATGGGATCAGTGCCCTTATGGAAGAGGCCCCAAGGAGTGTCTTGCCCCTTCCCTGCCTCCCAAACTATAAGAAATAAATTTCTGTGGTTTACGAGCTATCTAGTCTATGGTATTTAAGTTACGGCTGCCCAAATGCATTAAGACACTTAGCATAGCATTTGCACCTTGCAGACTCTTAGCAAGGGTTATATCTTTCTCTCCCTCTTTCCCTTCATCTGTTTTTCTTTCTTTCTTTCCTCAAGTTTTCTTTTGAAAAGTGATATAATCAATTTGATTTTTCATTTGGAAGTGGTCAAATCTTAAACTGCTTTTTCTAGGAGAGAACACAGGACAAACAGATTTTCTGGGGGGAGTGGTATTGGGATTCCAAGGCACTGGGCACCGTTCCTGAGGAAGATGAGGCTCCAGGCAGTCCGTCCACCTTGGGGCAAAGTCCGGCGCTGTAGATGCTTAAAGCTAGGGGTCGGGAGTTCCCAAAGGAGAGGTGTGAGTGTGTGTGTGGTGTGTGTGTGTGTGTGGTGTGTGTGTGTGCATGTGTGAGTGTGTGTGTGAGTGTGTGTGTGTAAGTGTGTAGGATCAGAGAGAGAAGTCTGCCTAGAGCACAAGACTCACCATTCACTCTGGAGGTGAAGAAACTAATTAAAAGCATCCTCCTCAAACTTTTGGTGTTTGTTGAAGACTGGAGGCTTTTTTCCCCTCTCAGAAATCCCTTGCAGGCAATGTGGATATAAGGGGTAAAGTATAAAATCTTCTTGGAGAAAGGCCCTCTTTCTTCAGGTGTGAAGGGCTCTCTGGGGTCCTGGTGAGAGCTCAAGGACTCTCATTCTCCTCCCCAACTCCCCCCTTCTCCTTTCTTTACTTTACTCCTTCACGTTGGTTCTGGTTCCCTGCAGCCCCTATCCCAGCCGGGTCCCTCCCCGCACATCCTTCTCCCGGGCGATCCTTCTCATCCTTCTCATTTCTCATCGTGATCCTTCTCATTTCTCTTCTTCCCGCTCTTTGTCTTCTTTGCTTTTCATCCAGAAGAAGGGAAGCATGGGAGAAAGCCCCTCTGTTTCTCTTCTGCTCATATTCCTGTTAACATCCCCAAGAGCCTGAGAAACGTCTGTTTCTTGGTCTCCTGTTTCTGGAAACCATGATTTATTTAAGGTGTTTCCCTGGCTTAATGAAGATCCTATTCTTCTGTGGGATGTTCCTGCACACAGGATTTCAGAACTTGCTGTTTAGAAGCGCTGTTGTTGCCTTCTTTTCTACCACCAAACAATTGCCGCTTCCTTCGCGTGAGCACAAGTGGGGGGAAATGCTGGTATGGCAAACCGTACCAAACCCAAACCCTCCCTTGGGGCTCGAACCTCCAGGGCCACAGTGCGAGAGTGGCTTTAAAACTTAAAAAAAATTATTTACCCAAGCTATTCTTTCTATTCTTGTTAGTCATTGTCTTTACTGAAACACGTGTCTCCATTTTATTTTTTATTTTTATTTTTTTATTTTTAAAGATTTTATTTATTCATTTGAGAGAGAGAATGGGAGAGAGAGCACGAGAGGGGG